ATTTCATATTCCAGCTATTCCTCAAAAAACATGTTTTGGATATCATGCCATTCATATTTTAAATGTACATTTTAAGAAATTGTAGTTTTTGTATTACTACCCCAAGCTTCCATAAGTGGGTCAAAAATGGAATTTCGTTTTTTTCAAAATGTAATTTTTTTTTCTAAAATTATAAATAGTGAAAATTAAATATAAAATATTTCTAGTGTGAACCAAAATATAACACTACATATTATACAAGTGATTTTTCTTAACCAAAATGACAAAAATGGCATAAAAACACATATTATTCTAATACGGGTCCTTTTTGACCCACTTATGGAAGAGTGTAGGGTCCAGTCACTCGGGCATCTAAGGGTCAATCAAACTGCCTTAATGAGTCATTGTTAACCAGAATTGACATATTGATAGAATCAGATGCACACGATTGTGTTGTTAACAGATGTTTTTCTTTAATTGCATGTTTTTGGTTAGAAAAACACAGAAGTTCTGAAAGCAGCTCCATGTAGAAACTACAAATGTACAATATCAGCAGTCTGCATGGAATCCAGAGATGGTAAAGAAACGGACAGGACATTTAAATCTGCATGGCTGTTAGATTTAGCATCTTAACAACTCAAGGTGGGAAAACAGGTTTTACTCAGTCTTTACTTGGTAACAAAGGGAATTCCTTTTTCGAATAAATCCTTATCAACCGGATAATCACAGCTTGGTCCAAGAACAACTCGTCGTAGGCATCACAACTGAACCGAAACAACAACTTGCAAATGGGTTCATGGTCATGTAAACACGACAGAAACTTTAGCCGTTAAAGAAAAAAACATTTGATAAACTATGAATGAAAAATGTTAGCTTTACAAAATGTGTAGAAAAATCTCCTCAGCCCTTCAGATGTGAGCAGTCCGACCGTAACGACATTTAACATGTGAACAAGACAAACAGTAGAAATGTACTTGAGTCCTCTACAGCTCCATCAGAGCTTTGATGTCATCAATGCGAGACGTTTTCCTGTCCGTGTTCGTGGAGCCAAACGCCTTGTCCACCATCTCCTGCTTCTGCTTCTGGATCTTCACCATGGTCTCCTCCACTGAGTCCTTCACAAGGAACTGCAGCAACAAACAGAGGAATCATAACATATATATATATATATAAACATAATGAATACATTTAAGTCTTAATGGTATAATAACTATAATTAAACGGCGTATGCTGGAGCTGCTTAGGAACATGTGAGATACACTAAGCTCTGCAGCAAAACAATAAAACAAACGTACTAAATAAACAGTTTAGAAATAAATAGATAGATAGATGGATGGATAGATATATGGATGGATGGATAGATGGATGGATGGACAGATAGATGGATGGATGGATGGATAGATGGATAGACAGATAGATGGACAGATAGATAGATAGATAGATGGATAGATGGATAGATAGATAGATAGATTGATAGATAGATAGATGGACGGACGGACAGACAGACAGACGGATAGATGGATAGAGAGATGGAAGGACAGACGGACGGATAGATGGATGGATAGATAGACAGACAGATAGATGGAAGGATAGATAGATAGATAGACAGACAGATGGATGGATAGAGAGATGGAAGGACAGACGGACGGATAGATGGACAGACAGATAGATGGATGGACAATGTACATAAGACAAATTAAGACACAAGAAATAAACAGTCCAAAATATTTCAGAAATAGAAATAAAATAGCATTATCAATAAAAAAAGTTAAAGAATATAACATTTAAATAAATATATATACATGTGGAAATCCACATTTGCAGTAACTAGTTTTGAGTAAATAGTAACTCGTTTTCAGACCTTGGTGACGACCACTCTCCTGGTCTGTCCCAGGCGGTGGCAGCGGTCGATGCACTGCTCCTCGGTCGCAGGGTTCCACGCCTTAAACACAAACAATCAGAAGTAAACATGCAGTTTTTAACCCGTAACATTTCCTCTGCAGGGTTTCTTCATTTATTTAGAGGACGACGGCTCAAACAGTAGTTACTGTCATCAATTATGGCGTCTGATCAGTACAAACAAAAACACACTCTCTGCTCTTTCCCGCTTTCTTTTTTAGTGTTTTCTTTCTTCATAAAAGTGTATTAATCAGTTTTGTTGTTGGCAGAGATCTTCTTTGTTTAATGCATGTGATTTACTTTAACTGTAACAAACCTGCCTAGTGTTGTCGTGTGATCCCTGCACATACACTGCTGTATATACTGTATTTACGCTCAGTGTATTTATTCTTATTTATACATCTATTTACCTACTTGTATCATTTATGTTACTGCTGATAGATGTGTATATAACTGACTGTTTGCACTCTGGTTAGACCCTCTTCATTTCACTCTGCTTGCATTCTGTAATGACAATATAAAGTAATCTAATCTAAAAACACTGCAGAAGATTTGAATACGTGATACAATCTGAGCACACAGTTACACGTGCCATCAAATCAGGAATATAGTGAATATCATTTTCACAATGCCAGTACATTCTTCGTGTGATTATTATTACTTATGTATTCTGTTGGGGAATCTTTTGGTTAGGTATTCAACCTTCGACCCAGTTCATCATTTTCTCTCTTTCCCCGTGGCATAGGTCTACGGCCTTGGGTATTGCTGCTATCTCTTAAGGAGGGGCAGCATTGTTGTTGCCAGCTTATGACCGAGCACAAGCTGACATGAGATAGTTTATTGTTCAGGGACATCTAGAAGCTAGTTCCCTGGCGCACATTCTTTTCTCTGGACGACAGCAGTTAGATTCAGGGTCCATATTTG